TGTTGTGTGGTATTGGTCAACACATCACAACTCACACAGAAAACCTTTATAAGTTTGAGGGAAACGAGATCGTTAAGTTCTAGAGATATTTCTGCACCAAGGGAGATGTGCATGTCTAGACGTATCAGTGCGCGTCGTGAGCTCATTCTGTGTGTGCGCAGGCTGAGAGCGACGTCGCTTCCCTGAACAGACGCATCCAGCTGGTTGAGGAGGAGTTGGATCGCGCTCAGGAGCGTCTGGCCACTGCTCTGCAGAAGCTGGAGGAGGCTGAGAAGGCTGCTGATGAGAGTGAGAGGTGTGTATGGAAACAAAGCAGGGCCCGAGACTCTTAAAAAGAATTTTGTCAATAAATTGCAAGTGAAATATCAGGAGGTCAAACTTCCCAAGACCCCCCCCCCCCCCCCAAAAAAAATGTTCCCCGTTTTCTTTCCCAAATAAAAAAGAGACGTATTTTAAAACCATGATATGCAATTTTCTACCAATAAACATTAAACAAATATAAAATTCAGTATTACAGTTCAATATTACAGTTTTTATTACAGTGAATTGAATATCAATTCAGTAGATTTTGTCAAGTTAGTGCAAAAGTATAGATATAGAAAAAAGTAGATATAAAGCTAAAACCTCTGACAGGATAGCCCAAAATTCCCATTTTAAGAGGATAGACGTTTGATGTTTCGAAACTATCTAATTTTGATGCAGTGTTAAACAAATGCTATAGTTTATCAAACATATGTATAGGTCTCATGATTTTAGGGAGCAATATTAACACTCAAACTCTCTCTCTCTCTCTTGCTTTCAGAGGCATGAAGGTCATTGAGAACAGGGCCCTGAAGGATGAGGAGAAGATGGAGCTGCAGGAGATCCAGTTGAAGGAGGCCAAGCACATTGCTGAGGAGGCTGACCGCAAGTATGAGGAGGTTGGTTTTCTCTCTTTTCTCTCTCTCTTATAATTTATTATAAATAAATATAATCCAAATATAAAACAATCCCCTTGGACAGCATAAACGAATGACTTACAACTTTTCTCTTTTGTGATGGTACACAGGTGGCCCGTAAGCTGGTGATTGTTGAGGCTGAGCTGGAGCGTACTGAGGAGCGTGCTGAGCTCAATGAGGGGTAAAACCAAACAAATGGAATACTTTTTAAAAACATGCTCACCTTAACCTATGCCTGGCTATTTTTGTCTCATATTTTCTGTCGCTCTCTCCCACAGCAAGTGCTCTGAGCTGGAGGAGGAGTTGAAAACTGTGACCAACACCATGAAGTCTCTGGAGGCCCAGGCTGAGAAGGTAAGCGTGTAAATATTTGTGTGTGTGTAGAGGTATTTATGTGTATGATTGATCATCTGCGTATATTTGTTTTGAGTGTTAATCCTGTCTTTTCCATCTACAGTACTCCGCTAAGGAGGACAAATATGAGGAGGAGATCAAGGTCTTGACTGACAAGCTGAAGGAGGTGAGTTCATCACCTATGTTTTGTGTGTGTGCGCATTGATATAAGAGGGCCTGACAAACTTTCTGTGTTCCAGGCTGAGACTCGTGCTGAGTTCGCTGAGAGATCAGTCGCCAAGCTTGAGAAGACCATTGATGATCTGGAGGGTATGTCAACTTGTACCGCACTGTTTTTCATGCTGCTATTAGACACGGGTTAAAACAAGCTTTTTAGGATCAATGTAAGACTTACCTTTTCATTTTATAGAGAGACGCTAGTTACATCCTTAGAATAACAGGTTCGATTCCTTTTTGCATTCATACACTTAAAAATAAAGGTTGTTTATTGGCATCTATGGTTCCATGAAGAACCTTTAACATCCAATGGAACTTTTCCATTGCACAAAAGGTTCTGTATAGTGGGAAAAGGTTCCTTAGATTATTAAAATGTTCTTCACATGAAGAAAAAAAGCGTTTTTTTAAAGAACTGATCACTGAAATGTTCTTTGGGGAAATCAAAATGGTTCTTCTATGGCATCGCTGGGAAAACCCCATTTTGAAACTTTTATTTCTAAAAGGGTATGTTGCTATTAACAATTCATATAGTGATTTAAAAGATACGCCTTTAAATTAACAGCAGTACTTATCGGCACTGCTATCTTTGGGTATTTAAAAGATCATATTTTTCTCATCATTGAAGAAGGTAATCTCACCTCATTTCATTTCTGTTTAATTTTTTAATTTTTTCTTAGCCTTTCTTTTTTCTGTCTCTCTATGGTCACTTGTCACTGTTCAATCCGCCTTTGCACTGCTTCCTCTCCCTTATTTTCTTGTTTCTCCATTCTTTTCCATTCCTCTCCATTCAACACCCTCCACCGTTCTGGCCTTTAATTGGCTACTTTAGATGAATTGTATGCTCAGAAACTCAAGTACAAAGCCATCAGCGAGGAGCTGGACCACGCTCTCAACGACATGACCTCCATGTAACTATCCCCACCTGTTACTCCAGTGTGCTTTTGGATTAATAGCATTTCCAGATTCTCTGTCTGCTAATATAAATTCATTTTCAGGTTTGCTGATGGATTTTAGAATCCACTATACATTTTAGAGCCTGCATCACATAAGTGTTTCTATTGATTAACTCAGTATAAAGTGATGTAGAAAGGTTGATTACACACAAGCAAACACACACTGTTTATTATTTGCAATACATGATGACACTTTTATTAATCTCTTGCATGCCCTTTGTTGTTTAATATCACCATATATCATTTGTTTCAACTCTTTTTTTCTCTTTTTTTCCCCTGCACAGTTAAATTTTTTACATCTCATCTCTGGCTCCGGGCACCATCTGAGCGGCATCTTCTTCATTTTCTTCCATGTTTCTCTCTTTTTCTCTGTTGCCGCCTTCTCCATCACACTATTCTCAGTGGGGATGGAGCACTCAGCACTATAGTCCCATCACTTGTACAGAAATTTTTTGCTTTCTGTAAAATAAAACTTCCTCCCATCTCTGTAAGCTCCCCACTCCTTTCTCTCTTTAGTATGTCTTAACTCTTTTGATTTCATATGTCCTTAATTTATTGTCGAGAAGCTTGAATAAAATCCAAACAAAAAGCTCCTTCTCATCACCTCATGTTGCTTCTCTCTTCGACAGCTTATGTTCACCTGTAATGATCATATTCATACCATCATGATTTTGCACCAAAGGTTCTATGGCATTGTAAATATAGAATTGAAAGAAAGATTTCAGCATAATCTTTAATAAACCATTTTGGGTAAATGCTCTTACTAACATCTTTCCTTTAATTTTCACTCTTCTCTTCTCTTCTCTTCTCTTCTCTTCTCTTCTCTTCTCTTCTCTTCTCTTCTCTTCTCTTCTCTTCTCTTCTCTTCTCTTCTCTTCTCTTCTCTTCTCTTCTCTTCTCTTCTCTTCTCTTCTCTTCTCTTCTCGCCAGACCCCCTATATCAACAGCTCCAGAAAAACCGGGTCCTTTCACATGAGCTCAGTTTAGCACTTAATGAATTCTAATCTCACTATATAAGAAAAAAAAACAGGATGTACACTAAATATTACATTCTGTCTATTGTTTGTGGTGTACACAGAGTAACCAATAATCTATGGATGACAGATAATCCATAATTTCATTATTCTATTATTGTTGATACTGGAGATCTTGATCTTTTTATGTCAGGGCTAAAAATATAAAATAAAATAAAAAAAGATTTACTGTGTATGGGTTGCATCCACAAAACCTAAAGCTTAAATATTAAATTAAAAAAATCATGGCAACCTGTGCCCTTTAAATGATTAACAGCCTTGACCTTTCAATGTATTTTATGTAGAGGGAAAAGTTTACAGAAAGGTGGAAGTGCCTTCTGCATTATATAACTCACTTTGGATCATTACCAAAGGTGTGTTGTGTTACAAGAGTTGATTGTTTATAGGCTATATGTCATACGTACTTCTAAAATCAGAAAATATGACTAGAGCAAGTAACTGAATAAGACACTTGTAAAACTATCAACCCATTATTATCACATGTAACATGCATAAATGCAATGCACCACCCTCAGGTACACAAATATAAATGTTTACATTTCTTTTTTTGCAACTGCCAAAATTATCAATATACCTGAATAAAATTAAAAAATAATCTAATCTCAAAATGCCTAATGCCTTGTTTCTTTATTGACCAAATACATAGGCTATATACAGTGCTGGGTAGATTACTTACAAATTGTAGTCGGTTATGTATTCCAAATTACATGACAAAAATTAAAATTAGTATTGTAATTCATTACATCACACATTTAAGGTATCTGATTACTTTTAGATTACTTTTGACCTAACTCGTTTATGATTTGAATAGGATAATCTTTTACCATATTGATAAATACATATTGATTGTATTTTTGTAAAAATACAAAGAAAGAAAATATATTCCTGTTGATTAGAAATGCAATGTTGAGAAAACCCTTCTGAAAAGTGAAATGATTTCTTTAAGTGATCAAATGCCGTGGGTCTCAGTTTTCTGTGATCGGCCTGTGTGTGCGATTCCTCAGACCTGGAAGACCTTCTGAACGTATAGAAGCAGTAGACTTTTTTAGAAAGGAAAATTTAAAAGATAAAAAAAAGAAGTAATAGGGAGAATAAATGTAATGAATAATTGAATAATGTATTGCCATCGTGAGAACAAGTAATCATGTAATCAGTAAAAAAAAGTAACTGTAGTCTAATTACGAGTATTTTAAAACGTAATATAATCTAAAGTAGGCCTACTTAATTTTTGGAATTTTATTATGTAATTCAGATTACATGTAATCCCTACCAGCAGCTCTGATTTTATAAAATAAAGGCAGACTGTACTAGACTGTATATCATTTCTTGTATATACAATCTTTACTGAAAATTTGTATTGAAAACAGATCATAAATGCAAACACAGTAAACATGTTCCAGTAGTCAGCTGTGTTTCTATGGTTTTTATGAGGTCTGTACCATAGACTGTAAAAAAATAGGTCTGTAACTGGCGTCCATTGTCAGACTTTTAAACAACTTCCGGTTCGCTTCCGCGTGTAGGGTCAAATGTGAGAGATAATTCCGTGTGAAAATGGAAGGGGATGCAGCTCCTCCAAACAGCTTGTGGGAAGGCAAAGCAGGATATGTCCTGAGTAATGTTGCCGAGGTCGTGGAAAGGATTTTGACATTTGTGCCGACTAAAAATCTCTTCCGGATCGCAAGGTAACATTAAAGATTCTAGCTGACTGTAGATGTTTTAGCCTGTTAGCTTTGAGCTAACGTTAAAGACCCCATTCAGTCCATCACACCCAGGTTAAGCGGTATTAGATAAACTCAATTTATAATTTAACGGGATATTTGTACACGTTTACGTTGTTGAGTGATTAGTTTGGTCCGATCTGACACAGGTTCCGATGTTCCTTCTCAAATTAAGTTACGTTAACGATGAACTAGCCAGGAATACATCAGTTGTTGATGTAACGTTAAGATCCGCATTGTTTTTAAAGTGTGATGTTGTATTAATAACGTTAACGTTGTATTAATAATGTTGTATTCAGTTGTCACTCATAGTCATCATACTCGTGAATGTTTATTCCTTTCAGTTTCAGATGATTGATTTATTTGGATTATTATTTGGATTATTTTAACAGCGTTACAGCTGATCTGAAAGTTTATCTTAAATGTTTAAAATGCAAACACCCAGAGCTCCAGACTAAAAAAATGATTTGGGGAACCGTTGGCCCCTACAACTAAACGCTTCAAAAATATTTTTACTTGTTAAATTTCAGAAGCGCTCGGTACAGTTTGTTCAAAAGCGCTTCCGTTCATTCATTGCGAAGATTATTATTGTAACGTTACCTTTTAACAATAGTCACTGTCATTACGAAACTATCTTTTATAAACAGTTATAAATATATCGGATGTAAAAACTGTATAAACTAAAGTGTCTAAGAGTTCTTTTTTGTGTGTGTGTTTGTTTTATAATGTCACTCTATTGTTCCTCACTTGATCTTGTAAGACTATCACTGCCTGTTTGATAAATATAAAATGGTGTGTTGATTATTCGGCTGTATCGATTATTTGAATGATTAATCGAGTGATTAGATACTTTTGGTATTAATAAAAATGTACCTAAAATGAACAATCGATTTTAAAATGCATAATTGGATCAATAAAGTATCAAAAGCAAGTAATATTCTGGTTTTATTGAACAGTACTGTTAAAATAATGAATGTAATAGTATGTGCGTGCATATATGCAATTTAATAAAACAAAATGCCATGATTATCTTTATTTACACATTTCCATATGAACAACCAGTTGCAGACCTAAGTCCGTCAAAACTAAAATAATCAGAATCAGTTTGTATGTTAATATCATTGTTTCTTTTCTCCGTAGTGTGTGCAGGCTATGGAGGAATTGTGCACGCAGAGTCCTGAGGACGAGGCAGAGATTTACCTGGCTCTCCGCCTCTGGCTCATCCATATACGAAGAGCATGTTTTGCTTAGAACTATGACACAAGACTTGGAGGTCTGATGGTCTTTGCTGCTCTAGAAATGACAATCTCACTCTTTCCAATTTGTTTAAATGTTTGTCTTTTGTCTGACCCCCTTGCAGAATATCTGTCTGCTGCCCCAGACAGCTCTCTTAATGGTAAATCATGAGAACTTCAGAGGGGCTGTTAGTCACAGACACAGGAAGGGTACATTACTTGATTACTTCTATATAAAAAAAAAACCCTGTCAGTCATGATGAGGAGACTCACCTGTTCTCTTCGATCCTCCCTCTGCAGCCAGGAGGTGTGAGGATGAAGTGGACTCAGATCCTGTTGAGAAGCTGAGACGCTTACTACCTAGCAGTTGTGAAGTAATAGGCGTAGTCGCACCAGGAATTGTGGGTAAGACTAATTTTTCCTTTTTCCCTGTGTTCTACCTTTGCTGTGTTTGTGCAATGTCAGTGCAACAGTGATACTGTCATTTCTTATGCTGTGTTCTGTAGTGACCCCCAGTGGATTACCCAGCAGCCCCCCACAGGAGCATGAGGAGGGTGAAGCTGGCTTCAGTCTGCTTTTCCCTGCCATGGACGGGGTCACCATCCGGCTTTTCCACTTCTGCAAAAAGACCCTAAGTGAAACGGCAATGGAGGAAGCAGGTGAAGTGTTCAGATTGTTGGACAAGACCGTAACATTTAGACAGTGTTGTGTGTAACGCGTTACAGTAACGTAACTACTTTTTCGGGTAAAAAGTAGTGTAACGCGCTACTACTGAAAATTTGGTAACGAAACGTAGTTCCTTTTTCAATTCGGCGAAACATTACTTTTCCCAGGGACAGATTTGACAGCGATCTCCGTCATTTGACAGATTTGACAGCGATCGCCATCTCCGTAGTGAACGCCTACAGAGAGAAATGCACATAATGGATTACATAATCTTACATAATCAGAGACTAGCCTATTTCTTTTCATTTTGAATTGTTTCGTTTAAAGACATTTCAAGCTTTCTATATGTAGATATATTTATCGTGCCTGTGAGGCATACGCTGAGTTTCGGTTAATTTATGATGAGATGCCCTCCAGTTCACGCGCAACAAGTGACCGCGCCGGCGCCTCTATGTCATGATTATATTGTCTGCTATATTTGCTTCTTATTTATTAAATCCAGGCAATTGGTTGATGATAAATTGATTAATTTAAGATACAATTTATACAAAACGAAATTCACTTTAAAGAAAGCCTTTCTTCAAAACAAAACTTTTATGAAGTGGTCAAAATCATGTCTGACCCACTCAATGTCTCACGATATATTGCGCATCCTATCTTACTCATGCTGTTCACTTTTCATAATCAACATAGATGGAAATTTTTTTAACAAATATGAAACTAAATGCGCTTATTTAATGGCTACAACACGTATAGTAGGCCTAGACTCTCTATTTGTACAAATTGCTGCACATTCATTTAATTCTGAATTTTGCACACATAAGTTGAAAGGCATTTGTTTACATGCATAGTAAAACACATCTGCAACATTTATCAAGTTCACGGATAATTGTGCGTGCATTTATTAATCATTATGATACTAAAATGATAATAAAGTAGGCTATACTATGTACAAAAAATCAGATATGAACGCAAACTGTTAATTACACGTTAATTAAACTGTAATTACACGTTAAGCATTTTCCTCCCATAGAAAACCATTATAAGAACGCTTATTCCCTCCCTAGCGCCGCCCATGCATATGCCTATTCATTAATGGGCATTTCTTCATAAATATTCAAAATTTTGATAAATGTATTATGCATTTATGGCATTATATATGGCATTATGCATAGTATAACTTTATGTAGGCCTACACATTTAGGAACAGATATTGTGTTCTGCCCAAAGTCAAGCAACATAAAAGTAACGTAAAAGTAACGAGTAACGTAAAAAGTTACTTTCCAAATGGGGTAACTAAGTAAAGTAACGGATTACTTTTTTTAAGAAGTAACGAGTTACACTACTTTTTAAAAGTAACTTCCCCAACACTGCATTTAGACAACAATAGTAACGAAAGTATTGGGTCATTTAAGATTTTTTTTTATTTTATTTTAATCTCTTATGCCTCACCAAGGCTGCATTTACGTGATCAAAAATACAGTTAAAAAAGTAACAATGCGAAATATTGCAATTTAAAATAACTTTTCTATTTACAAATTTAAAACATGTAATTTATTTCTGCGATGCTACAGCTAATTTTCGGCAGCCATTACTCCAGTCTTCAGTGTCACATGATCCTTTAAAAACTGTGCTCATGAAACTTTTCTCATTATCTTTGATTTAAACAGTTGTGCTGCTTAATATTGTTGTGGAAACCATTATAGTTTTTTTCAGGATTCTTTGATTAATAGAAAGTTCAAAAGAACAGCATTTTTTTTTTAACTAGAATCTTTTGTAACATTAAAAATATACTTGTCACTTTTAATTCGTTTAATGCATCCGTGCTGAATAAAATTATTAATGTATATTTATATATAATAAAAGAGAGAAATCGTAGTTTATATAGCCAATGATTTAGTTGAATGGTAAGTCATATCAAAATACTCTGTATTTGATTTCAGGGTTGATTAATAACCCTGATCTAAAGGTGGTGCTGATGTTCGACTACGACACATATAAATCTGGAGGTGGACGGTTTCTTAACAAGCTTCTGGAACCTCTTTCCCAAAGTAATGTACTTATTATTGGAGGACAAGTTGAGGATGTATTTTCCATTAACAAAACCTGGTAAGTAAAGAAAATTAATGGTAAACATTTGATTTTTAGATTAGTCAAGTTAGTTCCTATTTTTTTTCCTCATGTTGTAAAGAGTTGTTATGGTCAACAACTCTACATACAACAATTGCCCCTATATGAATATGAGATCTACTCAGCATGTTTTTCACACTATGCCTTTCTAACATCATCTGCATCATGATAGTTTGTAATTTAACATTGCTTTAGTGTCACATACAGGAAGCTATTTTTCACTTCTTATTTCCTCACATTACCCTACAGTCTCAGACATTATCACAGTTATATCTCTGTTATATACTACATGCAATCTCTCTTTGCAGCTGTTCTCCAGGCTCTTTTGGGGCAGTAGGACTAACCTTCAGTGGCTCCAAGATCCAGGGTGCCTCAGTTCTGGTGGACCAGGACGTAAACAGCCCGAAAGCAGCAGAAGCCACTATCCAGCGGCTGAAGGCTGCTAATATCCCAGAGAGAAACACCATGGGCTTCATGTTTGCTTGTGTGGGCCGTGGCCACAACAGCTACAATAACCAGCATAATGTGGAGGCCGACGCCTTTCGGAAGATCTTCTCCAACATTCCGCTCTTGGGATTCTTTGGAAACGGGGAGATCGGCTGCGACCGTATTGTCAAAGAGAACTACACATTGAGCGAGACGGATGCTGATGGACTACAACACTCTTTTACTACAGTCATGAGTCTGGTGCATTTTGGCTAACACGGCAACTAGAAAACCAGCTAGTTCACTTGGTGTTTTAGGACAGACACCAGCTGCTTGTTTAAGATAACTGAGCAGTTCCGATGTTGATCAGGTATAATTCTTCTAGGTTCTTTTCCTTGATTTTTTTTTTGTTTGTTTGTAAATCAGGATGTCAGAGGGACATTTAGCAGTTGTTTAACCTCATAGTTACAAGACTGTCATGTAAGAGCTCCTGCTTTGAGCTAAAAGTGGCGGGTACAACTGTGTCATCAGATTTGGCATCAAAACACTAATCTGGGAAGTGAAAACCTTGTTCGTAGCTGCAATTTTAGAGCATGCTAATTTTGATGTCTGAAAACACTGAAGTGTCCTCTTACACCATGGTTTGGTAAGGTCATTACTTACAGAACGGTTATGAAGAACAATTAGGATTTAATTTTAATGGCATGGTGTTAAACCTTGTCTTCTAACTTCAGTTTTATGTGCAACTCTCTTTTGTGTAGAGCAGAGCTGAAATCTGTCAGCTGATCAGATTTATTGTGGGTTGTACGGCTCACTTAGGCCTTATATATACAAATAGTTTGTAAACATATTCAGGCACTTTCTAAAAAAATAAAAGCCAACTGTGGTGGAATGGCTAATGATGGAGCGGTTTATCAACCTTGGTACGGATTATGGAAATTCTACTATCTTCACTTCTCTTTTTACGTGATATGTCAGGAACAATTGCTGACCCATTGTTTGTATTTTAAGTTTCATCAGCTACATAGACTCTCCAAATTGTCACATGGGATTCCACAACAAGTGCCAAGAAACTACAGAAAAAGTATTAACAATGGATCATCGTATGGAAAGCTTAACCTTATTTATATACAGTACAATAGACTTGCAAGCAGTTTGAAATGCCCAGATCAGAGTAATAAAGGACAGAAGTGGAAGAAGTGGAATTTCTTTGTAATGCATTTGTGTATGCCTGTCCCTATCAAAATTTAGCAGGGTAATCCTCCATTTCTGTTCATCAGTTTAGTTCTTGTTAAAGGTTATTCTTTTATTCTGTGCTCTAGCTAAATAACAGTGTTGATCACCGATAAGAGCTGTTTGCCTGTGGAGATCTATTTGTTGCAATATTTAGAAGGTTGATTCAAACATTGCTGTTGCCAAATCTCTTTTTTCCCCCAGTTTTGTTCTGATCAGATACATAATACTTGGATTTTGTCTTGCCTTTACTTTAAGGAAAATACGATTTACTACTGTCATGTTTTTAATGGCAGTGTTTTGATTTATTTTTTCTTCACTGTCAAATATCTTAGGTCTAATTGATCTGACAGGTAGGCCTATATAATAATGTATATAATAAAATCGATGTCAATTATTGTGGTGCCGTCTTAAGTCATTTTTTAACAAGAAGATGGAACACAGATAGCCTATATATATATATATTTGCATTCCCATTTTTTTAATTTTTTAAATGCGCTATTGCGTTTCCATAACTTTCCTTGAGGAAAAAAAAATAGAGAAATGAATTCCCGTGCTAAAAGCAGCCGGAAGAGAGAAAGATGCTCCCTGAGCAGCTGTTATCAGAAACATCGCTCCAGTATTTTCACTTTTTGTAATTTAATGCCAGAATAATATAACTCACAGTATAGTTTTACAAATACATTTTTTTAAATGAAAATATAAATTACTTTACTAGTAGTCTGTAAAAAGGGTCCGAGAATTCGTAAATGCGTTGGTTCTGTCTTATCTTATTTTTCCAGTAGATGGCGCTCTCGTGCAACAGCACTTTAAAGTGACCAATAGACGCTTTTCCACTGTCGACTCAATTATATGGTAATTCCTGTTAAAATGAGCCCTAAATAACATCTTAATACCAAAACATCAAATTGGAAATAAATAAATAAATCTAAAGACCAAATAAATCGATCATTTACTGTTACATTAATTATGAAAGTGAACACAAATGCTTGTCACAATTTGAGGAACTCCAGCTTTCTCTGTTGTGCGTGTCGTCAATGGCAATGCCGCGCGCATCACAACAGACAACAGGCAATGTCAATGGTAGCACACAAGCTGTTTCCTGTTTCTGCGGTTAGGTAGCCTGGAGCAGGTCTTGGTCGAGGCAGTGGTCAGATAGTGGATTGCCCCAGGACTAATGCAAACCGAAGCCATTTAGGGTTGCAGTACAAATCCCTCAGTTCCACACGAATTCCCATGACTACACTGGCACAGCAGGTGAACGCCACTTACAGGTAAAGTGTGGGGTGGGCTATTTTAGTCCCTTCACCACAAAAAGAGTGAAAACATCTGTTTACCTCCTAACAAGCTCTTTGGTCACATTCCATAGACACTGCCACTCAAAAAGGCCCCTGTGGAATTGTGGTAAATCTGACTTTCAGGAACAAACACAGCATTTTGGAGGAACATGGCTTCTCGATGTGCACTAAAAGTGGATCTGTTGGAGTGCAGGTGTTTTCAAACCTGTACATTGTCGCCTCAGGGCTCTTGGAGTAAAGGCATTCAGCCTCACTTTAAGACTCTTTCCCTGTTGAGAGCAGACTCAAAAACAAGACAGACAGACCCGAGCTTTGGGACCATTGTCATAAAGAGCAATGTTTTGTAGGTCACACACAGGGGGTGGGCCACTTTGCTCAGAGTTAGGTATCCCAAGTGTGCGAAATTTAGTCAGGCGTTTTATAGAAAAACAAAAACAAAAATTGTGCGTAGAATGTCTTGAAAGCAGAGTGTGTAGGCCTACAGCATAATATAGATAGACGATATAATATGTACTAATATCTGTCATTTCCTCATCTGAGATGTATGGATAAATATCAAATATTACAAAACCTTTGAAAAGAATCTCATGTTATCCCAAATGGAATTTAACATAAATTGATTTGAAGTGAGGCAAGAAATGCAATGTAAAAAGTAGTTTTTATGGTTAGCAGGTATTTATTCATTTACATTTGAAATGTCAAATGTGCACATATTTATAAACGCATGTGCCCAATTAGTTCATCTGGTTTAGTCATGCTAAATTCCCTCTACTGTATGTTTCTTATGCATTTTAATACTGTCAGTAACACTCACACCAGCCGAAGTTTATTGCATAAAGAAATGTAAAAAGATGCAACTAAATAATAATAACATTGCATAGGCTACAATGTAATCATTTTTAAGTTTGTAATATTTCTAAATAAAATAGTAATGTTAATGATGTGTTTGTTCAGTAGTACATCCACTGATGTGAAAAAGCTCAGCTCCATTATCATTCGAGGAGCTGTCACAACATAAGCATGTCTGGATTTTCTTTAATTGCATCACACTAATTAGCTATTATTAATTCAACACAATTTTGTTGTGAATTAAATGTATTCAAATATTTAGGCAAGGGTGTTCATTTAATGCAAGGCATGGCATACAACGACAAGCTAAACGCATGACATGCTAATGTGACAAACTGTTGCTAATTGTGCAAAGAGCCGGAAAATGAAGATTGATACTATTTGTTCCCTAGCTAAACCATAATGTCAGTAATTTATTCATATGTATATATATATATACCAGTATTTGAGAGAGATCGACTAACCTTTTCACTATTACTTTTCATATAATCCACAATTAGTTAGGCTCCTAGATGATGCATTATCATGTTTACTGTTATTACCTTGTCAATTCATAATAAAAGAGCCATGTTTGCAGTTGTGCCACCCTGACATTTAATATACAAATCGCTGGACAAAAGTTTTTCAATTATCTCAACAGCTTTAAAACTACTGATATTTATAAAAGTTGTTTATATGAAAGGTTTAAAACCTAAAATTAGGCCTTAGTATTTAGTTTTTAATTTTTTATTATTAAGAAAGACACCATTTTTTTGACAGTTGCACCACCTGACATTTTGGGGGTTTAAGATAACAAAACATAAAATAATATGCATTATTCAAATGTACTAAAAATGAATCCACAAAATAGGTTTTATAGAATAAAGCGATATATGTCATGAATTTATCAAATTATTTTAAGTAAGCAATAAGGTACGAGAGGCTGTGCTGTATCGTGAATAAGTAACGGCTGGAGGGCGTTGTTAGGCACGACGCGAAGCGGAGTGCCTGCAACCCCTTCAGCCGTTACTTATTCACGATACAGCACTTGCCTCGAGTACCTTATTGCTTTTATAAAACGGTTGCCACACATTAAAAATATTAAAGCCGAAAAATATGTATCTATGCAACTTTCATGAAGTAAAATCACTAAAAGCCTGCCTTCCGCTGGAAAAAATAGTCCCGGAACGTGAACAGCAACAGAAGTTACATATATTATTTCGCCAATAGATGGCGGCAAAGACTGTCTTTATGAGTGAGTGAGTGAGTGAGTGAGTCTGTAGAGAAGGCTTTTGAAAGGACTCGAACTTGTGATCACGGAGAAGACAGACGCAACTGACAGATGACTAACGTTATGCACGGAAAACCCCATGACTGTTAAAAGGACAAAATATGCAGCGGACATTCAAACGCATTTTTTTATTATGAATATAGGACTGACCTGAAGGAAAATGCTACGTCTACTGTAAATGCAGGTACACTCGCTTACTCGATCTCTCACAATGCTCTGCTCTAGCTTTAAATGAACAATATCAATGAGATGAAACATCTGTTTAAGTTGCTAAGAGTGGTTGCTAGGGGTGTTGTGTAGTGATACATAGAACCGTTGGGTGAAGCGGTCATAGCCGTGTTTTATCGTGAATAAAGCACAGCTATTGACCAATCAGAATCAAGGATTGGAACTAACCGTTTTATAAAAGGAAATAATGCATTTGTCTTGGACACAAAAATATGCATGTCATTGACCCACCATCATATAATTTCAATAAACTGTTACTGTGTATTCATTAAATTAAAGAAAAACACAATCACACTTGTTATTTATAATCATTTATTTTAAATAATATAATTTTAAATCATATATATTTTTGGAAGATCCTCAAAAACATTCAATAAATTATTCAGTGAAGGAATTCTAAAGAAACTGCAACGCCGGATGGTCAGTCAGTGCCCTAAATACCAAAAGAGTTTGAATTCACTTCTCAAATGAATGCATTGCCTCAATAATACCATTGGGTGGAATAATGGACAGTTGAGAATTCACAGGGGATACATGTTTGGTCTGACTACCACTGCTCCACCTCTGGGTCATTCAAGTGTTTGTGGTTT